TAGCAAGTCCGTGCACTCGTTCAAACTTTGCAATTTTCAGTGTGACAAACATGCTCTCAGATTTAAGAGTTAACAGCAACAGGGGTGCATTATATTTAAAATCGACTCACAGTATCTTAAAGTAGAGATTTCAAGCTTTCATTTGAAAAAAATTTCATCATTTTACGATGATTTTTCGCGGAGTTACCGTTAACCAAAGTTGACCAATTTTTGCTCAAAATTTTTCTATGCCATAATTTTTTTGAGCAGTGTATTTTCAAGAAAAGTGAGTTTACGTTTATGCGGAAAATAGAAACTGAAGAAAGGATGAATTTTTTTTGCAAATTTACGGATTCTATGTTTGAGTTTAGGTAATTGACTAAATTAATGATTTTACACATTTTGCGATGAGCCCTTTTTATGACGATTAACGAGTCTCTTACAGGAACAACAATAAAAAAAATCGAAAACATAATAAAAGATAAATATTTGCGAATTACGAGACACGGGCGGCTACCTTCAAGATCTATAATTATATTAAAGAATTAGGACCTTTGTGCATATACAGAAAGATATTTTCAGTAAAATACTTTATATTATTTGGTCGGTTAAATATTTTCAGAGATTGGTGAATTGACGTTAATTAACCCAAGAAAAAATTATTGGTCTATTTACGTCGAACCGATATCGTATAAATCAATCATTTCTCTCTGGGAATGCATAATGTTACCTTGAATTTCAATGATTACCGTACTATTTTTACAAGTGCTTTTGATTCTTTGCAGAACACATTATTACGTTGATACAAAGATGTTATTTTTGTCGTCATTGCACAAAATTTGGATTAAGGTGCAACGTGTGTAAACGATTAAATTTAGGTGCAACGTGTGTAAACGATTAAATTTAGGTGCAACGTGTGCAAACGATTAATTCCAAATGGAATTATCTGTTTAATGACGTAATGAAGTAATTTACATTTCTTTTACAGCTCATCAATCTGAAATGCTGATAATTTGAGAAGAAAAAATTATATAAACGATTGTTTTACGTAATTCGCAAATAAACGCCAGATGTTTCATTTTAATGGCTTATTAATTTTGTGGATAAACTCGTATAATTAACTCACTTATAAAATGCGAATTTCTTCTGAGAATTGAAAACATCTATAAAGTTTACAAAAACTGGAATAAAATTTGATTTTACAAAAAATAATAGCATTGGTTTAAATCAATTTTTATATGAAATTAGTTTATTATATAAAATCAATATTGATCGTGAAAGAATTAAACGTTTTAAGAAACATGCTCTTTATTGTTGCATGTCGTTTAAAAAGAAGAGTCATCACATTGCAAATTATCACAGAACCGGAAAATTCCACGAGAAAAATAATGGGATAATTGATTGCTGATACAATTTTGCTATAGGAAGTTCTTTTTTCTCTCACATTCGTGATCAAATATTTCCAGATAAATTTAATAAGGCAGATGCGAAAATTCCAATTTTAATTTTTGCGATGCATGAAGTTTATAAACTGAATGCAACTGGATACATATCTTGAATTTGTCGAAAACGAAGTCAATCAATATTTCAATATCATAAATTTCTATCAATGTCTCTAAATTAATCCTTTTTGTAGAAAATGTATTCATTTTTGTAATTGCGTTAACTTGAAGTTTTCATTGCTGTCGCATCAATCCTAAAACCGATATGTGCCATTTAGGAACTGTGTGATAAAATATAAACTACGTATGGAAAACAAAATTAATTTTTTTAATCAATTGCATATATTTCTTGACTATTAATTTGTAATATTAATTTATAACTTTTCACCTGTTTGAGAAATTAATTACGATAATGATACTTATGCAAGTAAAGTGCGTTTGTTTTTTTATGACAAAAAAGGATTGGCAATTATTTGGTTTAAATTTGCAATTACGAATAATAAGTGGCTTATTTCTAGTGTCATCATTTTTATTTTATTCCATTAATTATGTGCGTTAGGGACAGTCTGGTGTGGTGATGGAAATAAAGCAAAAACGGAGGATGATCTCGGTTTTTTGAAGCAAACAGACGCCTGTTGCAGAGAGCATGATAATTGCGCTCACAATATCTTAGCCGGCGAACCGGAGGGCAATCTCTTGAACAACGGAATTTTCACAAAGTAATTGAACAAGCAACGTAATACAAGATAATACGCATTACTCTCAACGTTTGTCGCATAACAATCGTATCTGTCGTCGAACTTTTCTTATTATCGTAACGTCAATAAAAATTCTGCAGTGCTTGCATTACTTAACTATTATATCAAACATAAATTTTACGTTATAGATGCAAAATTAATCTAGCACATATTTTGTTATCAAATTATGTATAAACGTTATCCTTTAACGAAATAAGAAAGCTATTTGGCTCGCGTTAGTTTTATAGATAATTCTTAATCGATTTTTTTATTATTAAATTTTTTTAATTTTCTGATAGATCCGCTTGCGTTTGCGACTACAAGTTCTATGATTGTCTGAAAAACGTCAACGGCTTCTGGGCTTTCAATATCGGAAAGACATATTTCAACGTACTGGGACCGCAGTGTTTCCGATGTGCGTGCCCGACGGAAGGTTGCAAGTAAGAAATAAATTACATTTATTAACATTTATTATCTATTTAATTCTTACTTATAAGTATCTCAAGTTTAGAAGAGGTAAAAGTTCTAAGTTTATTTAACTTGATTTCTTAAAGAATCTCGTAGACTATATAGCGTATAGAATTTAGTTGAATTATTTCCAACGTATTAAATATATCTTAAAATATAAAAATTATGGCTAAGCTTGATTGGAGCATACACATTTCAGACCTGGAGACGGCACGGAATGTAAGAACCATTGCAAGAAATACGAATGGGTCGACAGTCGCAAATATTAATAACTTAAATTGAGCTGACCGTTATAATTGCCGACATTGCAATATTATAAAATAAAAGAAGATCCTTTAATTTCGAAGCTTTTGTCTTAGGTATAAAATCTTTAAGATCTTTAAGAATATAATCTTGATGTAAATATCTTTCCAGTTCCGTTATTCTTGATAAGAACTGTATGTCTTAATTTTGATTTTGATTTTTAATAGAGACAGAAATAATGATTCTTAGATTAAGACAGATAAAAAATTACTAACTATACTTTTGAGAAACTATTACTATGCATAATGTACTTTAAAACTACGTTTTAATATATGTGCGTTGTAATATATGTTATATATAATGTACAATACAAATAAAACAGAACTTGCATTATAATTACTATGAATTATCCGCATTTATCCCACGTCTCCAAATTAACTCCTTTACTAATAACGCTGACGATACACATATTTCAGGATAAGTTTAAAATTATTAATATAATTGGTATATCGTATCCTTGATTCAAAAGCGACAAAATTAAAAAAAAGCATGATTTCTGTCAGTCAGATAGAGTTATTGAATAAATTGAATAAACGCATTAATCTTCAAAAGAAAAAATTAATTTTTGTGTCACTTTTGGAGGAAGACAGTGATAAAGTAATGGCTTGCTATTAATTGTTCTATTATAATGGGACCCTGAATAGCGAGAGTGTCGGACATCCAGCAATGGGAAGCCTGAAGAGGCTGCCAGGAGTTATCAGGAATATCAGGATGTGCAGGAGAAGCCGTCCATCGGTCGAGGGTGTGATATACACTTGTGGAACGATGTCGATCCGTCATGCATGTCGATTTCATCTGTCACGCATTCTACAGGTATGTAATGCGTTTTCAAATTATGTGGAAATTATATAAGGAATTAATAAATGGAGAAAAAAGATGGACAATGTGATCTACGTCAAATTTCCTGAACAATACACATTGTGTTAATTATAAATTGTTTTTGCACATTTTTGCCGCTTTTTTGATGAATGTCAATTGCGAATTTTTATCTCTCTTATCAACTCTATTGAGATATCTCTATTATCAACATAAATAATAATAGTGCGTGACATGTGTTCCTATAGCAGAATTTTTCTTAGACCAACATTATCTTAACATTTGCACAAATGTTGAATATTAAATTTAATATTGTTTGCGCTGGGCTATTCAATTCCGTTTGCATTTTGCTAGAATAAAGTACCGACAGTATTTAAGCGAGTGTCAAGTTGTTGTGGCCAACAGTTTGCATCAACAATCAGTTACAGCCAGGTAAGCGTATGTACATTGCATCATGAAATTTCTCGCGGATAGATTAAAACAGAAATATTATTTTGAAACTTATTAATTTATTAATCTACGGATCTTTAGAGGTTTATTGTGTTTGTACAACAACTTGATAAATTTTATCACATTGTCAGCTCTTTTTAGTTATTAGATTTTTAAAAGCACAAAGTATGTCAGAGCGTCGACAGATCATTTACACTTGACTTTGTAACCGTTGCTTGGGATCGATCTTTTACAAAGTTTCGACCCCAAGCAACGCAAAAAACAGTTTGCTCACGGAAAGAAACACGCTCGATATTATCATATTTGGTAATATCGTCGATATCGGGCCTCTGCCCCTCGCGACCTGATGGATCGAATAGCTCGGGATGGAGGGCTGAGATTTCCTGTTTTTCCGAAAACACGCTTTTGTCTTTGGTAATATCTCGACGAGAGAGCATCGACGGCAATCTCTCACTTATCGTTACCTTTTTTGTGACATTAAAACCGAACGCGCGATTTATCAATTTTGATTACGCTGCCTTTGTTTTAACTCTGTGCAACAGTGTGAAATAAATTATAAAGACAATAAATTCTCGAGTGCCGTGACACCCCGAAATTAACCAGCCTCTGATCCACAATTCGAGCATTATCCAATCGTACGATTTTCGTACGGCAAACCGACTACAAACTATAATAACATTTTTTAAATATTTATTATAATTTTATTTCAAAGTAGAATTTGTATTTTTTTTTGTAATTATCTTTGTAACCACCAAAAGTTTGTTAATTTATTTCAAACTATAATTAAAGATTTAAAAAATAAAAAAAATATGCAGGAATTATTGAAATAAGGATTTTAAAAATGTCGATGTACTAGAATGAACAAAAGGCTTAACAGTAATAATTATTTTTTATGAACTATAAACTTATGTAAACATTAAACATTCTTACAATTGTGATAAGTGATATATAAGTAATTAGACGCTTGTACTACGTATAAAAAAAATGTAAACTTATATTTTTTTTGCTACATAATAGAGTTAGATTTGTATTAAACAGTACTCGTACATATCGAACTAAATAACACAGACTCGACATAAATTATTGTTAAAGCATCTTAATTTTTATCTTTGCATTTTTTGAAATAAATTCTTAATAATTGAAGAATTATAAGCATTAGCAAATAAAAGAGTTTTCTTTTAAATATTTTTTTATGTCAGAATATTTTCCATTTGCAATTATACATAATAAATCATCTCTTTTCTAATATCTGAAATTCAAAATCGCTGTGGGAGCTAATTGTTTATTTCATACTGGAATTTATCTTTCTCATCTCGATTTATTTATCGACGATTAGGACGTTATGTGTGTTAATAGGATTCTATTGCCTTGCCATCATTTAATCTGGGTGAATAGACAGCGTGATGCCACGTGTATTCGTTTGCCTCTTCGCGCTCTTCATCCTCAGCATCGCTGTTCAATTCGGCGATTGCCAAAAGAACATCACCCAACTAGAACGTGAACATAAAAATATCATACCTGGTTCCGATGAACCTCGCCTGTCAAGTACCGAAAGAGTACTGAAAATATGGCATCAGAGATCCCCAAAGAAAGGCATTCTAGTTATAAAGTGAAAGGACTTTGCACCATTCTTATGGAAAAATGTCTTTCTGTGGATTTGGCTAATTTTTTAATATGTGTAGTATTCTCGTCATTCTGAGTAAATCTTTCAATGGGCACAGCTTAATCGTATGAGCCGTTTCCTTAAAGCCCTGAAAGATCTATAAATTTAACATTGCATATAGAAATAGGCTCTTCGTCTCGGTATGTCACCCTCAGTCGAATGTATGTGTATCAGCAGAGATTAGGACTCCACGGTTCGTAATTTTTTTATATTTAATGACTCCATACCCTCTCTGCAGTCTGCGTGTGCGTGCGTGTGTGTGTGTGTGTGTGTGTGTGTGTTAATCAGTAACATTATTACTCATCAATAAATACACACACACATTCGACTGAGGGACATGTACCGAATCGAAGAGTCTATACTTCTATAGAGTACTGCAGCGGAATAATTTGAATAGTGGGGTAACAGTAAGCATTTGCAAGAATTTCAGAAAAATAAGAGATTTTAAGATACATTTTATTATCACACATTGATCTAATGAAATGTGGGCATGCCAAGTTTTTGCTTCACTGATCCCGTTGGTCATTTTAATCGCTTTTAATTAAGTCTGTTTTATGAAACTTCAAATTATTTGAAAAGATAATGGCTTTAAACTTATTACTGTATATACTTTTGAATGCATTTAAATTATTTCTGTATATACTTTTGGATGATTTAAACGATTTATTAAAAAAATGTTTTTGATTTAGAATAAAAAATTTTTTTTTTCTTTGTCTAATCAAATACTTGGCCACTTGTATGATCTCATATTTGTTTTTGAACAATCTTAACAAACTTTTTTTAGAAAGGTTTTTTAAAGTTAAAGTTATACATAATTATTTATTTAAAAAATATTTTTGGTATAAAAAAGATGTAACGTGCGACATTTTATTTTTTAAAAAAGAGTTTTTGGTATTTTTCTTTATTATAATTTCGGACAAGATTTTGTGTCTGCACGCGACGCGAGTCGACAGTTAAGAAATCCAACTCATTTTCGTTGTCTATTGTCTGACCTCTAATCTCTAGAAAAATCAAGAAATGAATTGTTTGAATTTTTTACGCTTTTTTTCTCCGTTTGATCAGCTGAGTTCTGTGTACACGCGTGTATGATTTCGGATTCACGCGATATTTTTTCGAAATGTTTTATTTCTTTATATATTGTAATTGGCTTCGAGAAAGTGGCGATGCAATCGCCACAATATTTTTATTTAAAAAATGTAACTTTACAATATTCGATATTTTCAATGTAAAAAATTTTTTTATTGCTTCAAAAATAAAGTTATATCTCGTGAGAAATATATTTTTAAATATAATATATAAATATTCTTTATGGATAACGTTTTCTTAATTTTATTTAATTTTAGTTTGTTTTTATAAAATAAAAGTAAACGTCTCGCGGAAGGGAGAGGGAAAGCGAAACGCCGGTAATCGCGCCGCGCGATTCATGCACGCAGGTCATAGGTCGTGAGTCGTAAGGGTTATGCAAAGAGGTTACGGCGAGGGAGTGGGTTTTTCTTTTAAGAGATAATTCTTTGGTTTTGGAAAATGTATACTATAATAGTAACAATATTCATTAGTACATACATGATTTAAGAAACGAAAAAGTTATTTCTTGAATCAATTAAATGCTAAGGATTATTTGATAAAAGATTTCAAAATTAAAAGTTATTGCAAAATTCTTTTTTGAAACAGAAAAATTTTATTTAATAAAACAAGTAAATGTATGAACGTCCTTAACGAAACCTCCTTTTGCATTAGTCTAACGCAAGCAAGGTCATCCTGTATTAATCTAATTCTTTTGAGACACAGGATATTCGTACAACGCACATAAAACGTAATATCCTACGATAATCTCCCCTTTTAGATACTCTTTACCATTATCGGAAAATAAAGTGAAGAAATTGTTTCAGCTATCATCGAGGATCCTGTGTATGACGAGGTGCCGTCGAATCTGCCGCCCATTCGGAACCGGCGCGCGCTTTGCGATCTTCTGTCCTGGTTGCCTGTTAACCATAGTCTTTGCGCGGCCAGATGCCTGGGAATGCGTGATAGCCGCGGTCGCCGCTATCGAGGCGGTCACTGCGACAAAGGCGTTTGCAGATGCAGATTATAGGCGTCATTCAAGTTGTGTTCGCCCTTGAATTCAATCCCGGTAACGTCCCATAGATCTCGCACTTATTATCGCTGCCCTACAGTGTTGACTACGTTAGTGAATACCATCGTATTGTAATACAAATTAATATTCGTAGAAGCGTACGGAGAAATGTTGTTCAATCACCTGATTAATCAGTCCCGGCTTTGATATTTTCTACCGCGTAAATTTTTACCTAACGGACAATAATTGTTATTAACAATAACAATCATTTATTAGTAATAATTAATTATTTTCTCTCATTCACGCGTCGGTACTAAATATACGTTAATAATTAAAATAGTAGTTCTTGTTCGTGTCAAGTGTTTTATGAGGAATTGACAAGAACTGATATTGACGTTATAATGTGTGTGCCCGACAGGAGATTATAAGTAAGAAACAAATTACATTTATTAACATTTATTATCTATTTGATTAATTCTTACTTATAAGTATCGCAAGTTCAAAGAAGTAAACTTTAAGTTCATTTAACTCGTTTTTTAAAGAATCTTGAATTAAGATATATAGCGTATAGAATTTATTTGATTTATTTTTAATGTATTAAATATATCTTAAAATAGAAAAATTCCAGCTAAGCTTAATTGGAACATACACATTTCAGACTTGGAGACGATACGGAATGTAAGAACCATTGCAAGAAATTCAAGTGGGTCGACAATCGCAAGTATTTATAACTTAAATTGAGCTGGCCGTTATAATAACCGACATTGCAATATTATAAAATAAAAGAAGATCCTTTAATTTCGAAGCTTTTGTCTTAAGATATAAAATCTTTAAGACTTTTAAGAATATAATTGATGTAAACATCTTTCCAGTTCCGTTAATAAGAACTGTATGTCTTAACTTTGATTTTTGTTTTTAATAAAGACAGAAATAATGATTCTTAGATTAAGACAGATCAAAAATTACTAACTATACTTAGTATACTATACCTTTGAGAAACTGTTACTATGCATAATGTACTTTAAAACTTTGTTTTAATATCTGTGCGTTGTAATATATGTTATATATGTATAATGTACAATATAAATAAAACAGAATTTGCATGATAATTACAATGAATTATCCGCATTTATCCCCCGTCTTTAAATTAAGCCCTTTACTAATAACGCTGACGATACACATATTTCAGAATAAGTTTAAAATTATCAATATAATTGATATATCGTATCCTTGATTCAAAAGCGACAAAATTTAAAAAAAACATGATTTCCATCAGTTAGATGGAGTTATTAAATAAATTGAATAAACGCATTAATTTTTATAAGGAAAATTTAATTTTTCGAGTTGTGTCACTTTTGGAGGAAGACAGTGATAAAGTAATGGCTTGCTATTAATTGTTCTATTATAATGGGACCCTGAATAGCGAGACTGCCAAACATCCCATCAATGGGAAGCTTGGAGAGGCTGCCAGGACTTATCAGGAATATCAGGATGTGCAGAAGGAGCCGTCCATCGGTCGAGGGTGTGATATACACTTGTGGAATGCTTCAGTCCGCACTCGAGAAATTTTGGGTAGCGTCGCAGGGCCGCGTGCGCTGATGCGGCGGATTCCAAGCAGAAATGATTGATCTATAGACGTCGAATCGATCATGCCTGGGTAGAGTTGTAAATAGAAAAAAAAATCAAATTGTTTTTTTTGTTTTTTTATGAAAAAAACATGAGCTTTGTTTTTTCTTAAAAAAATTTTTTTTTTTCAGCTATCTATTTAATATCTATATTTTGCTTAATATAAGTTAATTTTTTATGATTTTTTATTTTATAGATGATATATTTGAAATATCATTTTAACCTTTATGCAGAATGAGAAAACCAATATATTGATTCTAAAACATATTTTGAAGCAAGAACTTTAATGAATAATTATAATAAATTCAACTTAAGAAAAAGCTGTTTAGAAAAAGAATTAAAAAGATTCTCCTTTTGTAAAAGTTAAATGTAGATCACATTAAAATTAATTATATAATTATATAATTACTATTTACAATTAATTAGTCGTGCTATCGGAATTAGAAAAAAAAACAAATTTATATATTTTTTAAATGAAATAAAACACGTTTTTTCTAATGTTTTTTTATATTTTTATTATATTAGAAAAAAAACGTTTTTTTTTACATCTCTATGCCTGGGATGGGTCTGTGCTACGGTCCGTAATTATTGGCTACGGTCATATGCCGCAACACTGCGCAACTCCGAACAGGGGATGAATCCATCGATCGTCTATCGAGCGCAATCAACGATAACGATGCTTTTGCGTGATCCCGACGAGAGTGGTCGCGAATCCAATTTAGAGAGCGAAATAGAGAATACATGAGCTCAGCAATCCCCCGGTCCGAACGGTGAACTACTCGCGACCGGAGAGGCGCGCGAAGGTGCGCCGACGAAAGAGATGTATCGGTGAAATAGCCCTCAGTATCACATAAAGCCATGAATAAGCCGACGAGGCCGCGTTCACGTTTTGCGATCGATTTTGCCACAATTGGTGATGGTGTCGCATCTGCCCTTTTGCGATGCAATATTTTTCAGTTTTATGTGAGCGAACGATCTCAAGTGTGAGTGTCTTTTATCTCGCATTGCTGTCGGCTATTGGAATTGCGATCCGAAGCTTCATGTAAGAGCTTCTTGGATATCGTGACCAGGTAAGCCGCAAAGTCTTCGCTTCGAAACGCGAATTGAGTCGTGAGAAAAATTCGTGTGATGATCATGCAAACGAGCGCGTGTTGGTGCGCCGATTTACGCGAAGTACTTATATCGCCCAGCAGCGGTTGGGCAAATTGTATGTTAATTTCGCGGCTGGGT